TTTCAGTACATTATACATAGTTGTTAAGCACCAGGATAATTATATCACAAAAAGATGTTTGCTTTATGAATTCATTTAATTCCATATCTTTATTAGTGACCTACCCTGGGATATTTTAAGTTATTGTATTGTTTTATTTCCAGACAACTTTCATGAAACTTATTTTGCCTAAAGCAGGCACACAGATCAGTTGTTAAAAAAAATAAAATAAGACATAGCTCAAAAATAGGCATTGCTTTCTTGGTACTTTATGGCTCTGAAAGTCATTCTGAGCCTCTTACTAGTGTTTACTACACCAGCAAGCTGCAGGACTGAACATTATGTTTTCATTTTGATTAACTTGACTGCAGTTGTTTTTTGGATACCACTTTAGAGCCCACTGTGGAATAAAATTAAAACATTCTTTATGATACAACAATTCACTTGCTGAAAATGGCATTTTTCTTCTATCCCTGAGTGGCAGTACGCTCTCCCCCTGAGTTTCCCATGTGGGCCCCAGGGCTCCGTTTGCTCCTTTATCAATGCATCTTCTGTACTATCTCCAGATTCCTGTTCCCGGAGTGCTAGTGCTCATTCCTGGCTTCTGGAAGGCCCCGTCTCCTCTCCAAGCCTGACTCATTCATCTCAGCAAAGCCCAGTGGCTCTGCTCTCCCCTTAAGGCTTCCTTCATCTCTGCTGATGGTCCAGGTCCACTCTAGATCACATCTCTCTTTCACACAGCCTAGTTCTTGTGCTCCCTCCCATGCTCCCTCCCACACATGAGCACACTGTGGGCTTCTTAAAGGACAGAACCAAGTCTCTTTATATTTCTACCAACTCCTCCATTGCCCGCTCACAGAAATAGAAAAGCAATACAGATAACGTGGGTGCAGACATCACAGCACATGCGCACCAACATACATCTACACACACAAAACATAGTAAATGAAAAATAAAAGTTTGTTGGACAAATGAATGAGGAATATTTTGAAATTTAAAAAGCATGCAGACAGCCCTCTCAGACATATGACCCCTTTCTAATACTTTTATGATTCCTTTAGTAAATTTTTTCCATTTTCCATAGCACCTCTCATATAAGTCACTGGTGATAAAAGTATTCACTGTTCTTGGTGGCATTGGCCGCCTCCTCCCTGCTGGATACCGAGGACTTCGTTTTGTTTGCTGATGTATGAGTCCCAAGTGCTCAGGAGCATGCTGGTTGTACTGGTTGAGTAAATGAATGAACCTGGAAGCCCACGGCCAGCTTCTCCTGGTTTCCTGGGTTACTGCCAGTGGTTTTCAAGGTACAGGCCAATGTCCTGGCAGAAGAGCAGGAAGGAATGTTGAGTCTCCAAAATGAGAGTTTCCCGAGTTTCCCACTTGCTAGCTGTTCAACCCCAAGCAAACTCCTTGACTGCTCTGAGGGTCATTTCCTTCCCTATTCAAGGACAGCATGAGCTAAAATTACAATGTTAGATTAACATTTAGGCCAAACAACAAAAGCTAAGGTCTGAAGTTCTCTGATCAGTTAATAGGTCAGACTTGGTTGTGATACCTTCCAATCTCAGTCATGTGTGTTCTCTGAGAAGTAGGGGCTGTGTCACAGTCTCGTCAGTGAGAAGCAGAGGTCCTGCTTGAGGCCACACTGTGGAGATGGCACAGTGCTGCTGGCGAGCAGGGCTGCAGAACACACTCCCTGCATGCTCCCCCTTTCAAGGGGCTGCTGTGGTAGATACTGATTATCTCCTTTGGAGCCGAGCTTCTAGAGTTTTCCTTCCTGCCTTAATATGCCTAAGGAATGCAAAAGTTGATGAGTGGCCCAGGAGGTGTAATTATGAAATAGCCTAGTCCTCTGGAAGCATGAGGTGCAAGGGAATCTGGGAAACCCCACCCCACCCCTGCCATGACCTTCCTATCCTGCTAATGAACACTACTTCCAGGTCATTCCCACCCTCTAAATAAAGTATTTAAATCTTTGTTTTCTACCCCCAAAGATAAAATCTTCTTCCATTAAAACTGTTTCAAGGATCATCACAGTATTGGTTTAGAAGCCAGTTAGTTTATGGTTGAGACAACCGAGCAGTCATTACTGCCTTCATTAATGATTGGAAAAGTACTGAATCTTTTCATTTTAGAGAGGTCTGCAAATGCCATTTCGAAACATACAATTACATCACTAATAACTCTTAATTATTGTAGTAAAGTTAACATAAAAAATGAGGAAGGCTGTCTTCCCTATGAAGGAATTAAGCTCTCCAGATATTTTCATTGGGCATTTAAAATGACTAACCCAGAGTTAATGGGCTGGATTTTGTTGGCATCTGAAAAACATCTTCTACATTTCAAGGAGTGAGTTTCCCTTTTGAAATAGTTTGTCATCATTTCGGAAGGATAAAAAGATACTTCAGAGAGTATTAAAATGAGAAATAATTTCATTTGGATGCTATAAAGCTTCATTATGCTTAATTGATTGGGAGGGTTGGTGGCAGTCCAGAGAGAACTGTGGGTGAACGCGTGGGACTTAAAAGGAAATATATGCATTTAGTGTCAAGCACTCCTTTATCAGACTGAAGTTTATTTTTGATAGTTTTATTGTGGTGCTTAAGAACTAAGCTTTGGCACCCTTCTGGTCTACATTTGAATCCCACTTTTCCACTCATTAAACCTGTGAGTTTAGATACATCACTTCACATTTTGGATCTTGGTTTTCCTCACCTGGGAAGGAGCAATGCTTTCTTAGTAATGTTGTCTTACATGAAATGACATAAACGTCATCTGAACAGTGCTTGCTGTGGGCACTGAATGATGTTTGTCATCAAGCCATTTAGATATGATGACGTATGTGAATACCATTTTACCAAATAAATGGAAAAGTCTGTGTGGAACCTTGTGTATAATTTTCAACTTGGTAAGGAAACTCTTTTTTCTTTATATCTTTCTATCCTCCTTTTTTTTTCCAACTCTAGGAATTTATATTGTGTTATGAATTATCAATTTGTTAATAAGTAAAGTGTGTGTGTGTGTGTGTGTGTGTGTGTGTGTGTGTGTGTGTGTGGCTGGAAGAGCAGTTTTTGTTTGTTAGTTTGAGAAATGGGGCTGACTAAACCCTAGATCCTTGTGGTCTAAGCTACTGTGGACTCCAACTCCAGTGGAACCAGGGGCCTGCTCATTGGCTAGACTCGCTGGTCTGTAAGCACCAGAGATCCTCCTGTCTCTGCTCCTCCAGTGCTGAGGATTGAATTTAGGTCCTCATGCTTATGAGGCAAGTACTTTCCAGACTATGCTGTAGCTGAAGTTTTCCTGGTCCTGCCTGGCCCACAGTCAGAACAAATCTCTCTCATCCACCAGTCCCGCAGCTGCTAGGACCCAAGTAAACACACAGAGACTTAATATTATTTATGAACTGTATGACCATTAGCTCAAGCTTACTACTGGTTAGCTCTTACACTTAAATTAACCCATAATTCTTATCTATAGCCTCATGGCTTGGTACCTTTTCTCAGTTCTGCCTTGTCATCTTGCTTCCTCTGTGTCTGGCTGGCAACTCCTGACTCAGCCTTCCTCTTCCCAGAATTCTCCTTGTCTGCTTATCCCACATATATTTCCTGCCTGGCTACTGGCCAATCAGCATTTTGTTTATCAACCAATCAGAGCGACACATTCACAGCATACAGAGCGACATCACCCATCATTCCCCCCATTTTTTTCTATTTAAAAGGAAGATTTTAACTTCAACATAGTAAAATTACATATAACAAAACAGTTATCTAGCAAGAATTACAGTAACAATATCTAGTCTATTTGTATTTGGCAAAATTAAAGAAGATATCTATCCTATATTTGTGAGTCTAAGGTTTTATGTCTACCTATCCCTTATCATAACCAAGGAAAACCATAATTATAACTATCTAGTCTTCAGCTACATCAAAGACCCCAGAAGGATATAATATTACCTAAGTAAACAGGAAATGCATTGTAAGCAGCTTCCAAAAATCTACAATGAGAGAGACAGCTGGCTACCTGGACAGTTACCCAAAGTTCTTCTGCAGTGTTAAGGCATCCATCTTTAGCCTACAGGCCTAGAGTCTCTCAGTTGCTTTTCTTTATGTTCTGTAGAATGTCTGGCACTTCCTTCTGTGAAGCAGGAACCAGAAGGACCATCTCATCTTGCAAAGTTCAGTGGTCACCTTTATATGGGTCCTACATGTCCAGTTTATACAACATTTTGTCAAGCAGTCTAGGCAAGAACAATTTCTTGCCCAAATGGCTGTTTTTTTCAAGAAGAAGATAAACTCCATATGGGATGTCTTCAACGCCCCTCTTTCTCTTTGAAGTAAATTGGTGCTGCCAGGAGCAGACATGTCTCACTGTTCACAAAGTCTAAGTTTTTAAAACATTTTGAATGCCACATTCTGTAGGTTTTTGAAGTGTCTGAAGATTACCTACATAACTGAATTATATCTATGTATACCTAGAAAGTTTAACATGACTATAAGTTTGACTACCATAGAAGACTAATTATTAATCTGTATTTCTTAATTATCCATTACAGTTTAAATGAGCTGCACAAACATAATCACTTAAAAAAGAATGGAAATATACACACAGTATAACAAAATTAACTTCAAATTTTTATCAATAAACTAAAATCTATAGCAATTTTAAACAAGTTGCTGCTCTTTAAAAGTAGATTCAATAATCTACACTTTCATCTTATCATATCTATCTATATCCTACATTTCTATATCATATCCTTTACTTTCTCTTTAAAGACTTCATTTTTTAAAAAACTTTATTTCTTTATATAACTGTCTATATTTCTTTTCCTCTCTCTTCCAAGCCTATGTATATTTTTATACACACTGTATACTGTTTAAGGTTTATCCCATCTCAATCCATCTTATTGTGAATCTATTGCTTTAAATTCCCCAAACCTGTACAAGTTTAAAGAAATTTGGCTGTAGGATGTGGAGTGAGCAGATATGAATTCTCACTTTCTTATATGAAATTGTATTTTCTAGGAGAATGCGTGGAAGGGCTGCGAGAGAATGACTACCTGCTGATCCATTCATGCCGGCAGTGGACCACCATCACTGCTCATAGCCTGGAAGAAGGTCACTATGTCATTGGGCCAAAGATAGAGATCCCCGTACATTATGCAGGTAAGACTTGGCAAGACAAGCAGAGAGAGGAGGGCTTGAAGAGCTGATTTTCTTTTTGTGTTTGCAGCAAGAAATAGGAATATTTCTTGTTTTATTTCTTATAATATTTCTAGCCTACCAACCTGAGAGCACACTGACTTAAAAGAACCAAACACTCCTATGTGGTTATTATTATTATTATTATTATTATTATTATTATTATTATTTTAATCAAGGATAGCTCCATTTTTGTCATAGATATTTTTAAAAAACGGAGCTGGGTGTTTATAAGATGAAAATTTTATGCAAAGATCTTCTCTGTGGCCTTGGAATTTTGGAGCACTATGTATAGCCAATCCATGAGCTCCACATCTGTGTGCATCTGAGTAACCAAGCACAACCTGAGCAATGCTTTTGTGAATGACCAGGATGCAGCAACTCCACAAGGTGCCATTTCACAAGTGAGCATAGTACTCTGATTTTAAAAGTATCTGTTTAGAAGTTTACATACCTGGGCACACCACTCCTCCCAATTAGTCTTTGAGAATATAGCACTGGCATGACCTCATTGCTGTAGTTAAATGTGGATGATGTCCACCTGTCACCGTACTTTAAACTGCATTTAGTTCAGGGATGTCATTGCACTTGGTTTTAGTTGAGTGAATTATGTTGCAAGAATTGAACTTGTGATATATAAATAAATAAACTTTGCTTAAATAAACTTTCAGTAGGGGTAACTTATAAAACAGTTTTTAAAAAACAAACGTTACCATTTGCTATCTTCTGGATTTTAAAGTGTCACATTATATTATTAGCTTCTTATCTGTTATTTCACTTTTTAAAAAGTTTTAGTAGAAATTTTAACCAATTAACTATAAATTGTGCAGACCTTGACTGCTGTTTTGGCTTTGACAGACTTGTCTACAATGCTAGGCAAGTTATTTATTTGAAAATGGAATCTTACCATATTCTAGAATGGTAGCAAATGGTATTTGTTCAAACTGTATTGAATGAATAAATGCTTTGGTAGCTTTTTTGATTCTTAGGAGTCTTCAGCTTCTCACTAAACTTAAAAAAAAAAATTCCTTTTCAAAAATATTATAGGAAAAAAGAATTTTTGTGGTCTAAAACTTTGTCCTTTAGAATTATATGTAGGCAGAGTTTTTCATCGGGACTACCAGCCAGCTCCCAAATAATCACACAGAGACTTAATATTAATTATAAATGCTCAGCTGATAGTTTAGGCTTGTTACTAGCTAACTCTTACAACTTAAATTAATCCATATTTCTTATCTACTCTCTACCACGTGGTGGTACCTTTTTTCAGCACAGCATGTTCATCTTGCTTCTCTCCACATCTCCTTCTTCTTTCCCACACTCTCTTTTTGTCTGCAAGTTCCACCTAACCCCTACATGCCCAGCTATTGGCCATTCAGCCCTTTATTAGACCAATGAGAGCAACAAATACTCACTGTGTACAAAGAGATTGTTTCACAGCAATTATACTGCTTAGTTATGAGTAGACTTTATGAGAAAAAGTAAGTGGAGCCTGCAGAAGGTGCTGTGTTTGTGAGATTAGGAGCCAGGCAACTGGGGCAGTGTTCATAGGAGTAGAGAATTTGAGAAGCCCTCAGGTTGCCCACATTCCCCTCTAAGAGGCTACACTCAAACAAAGTCGACTTTATTTTCAGCAGACTCAACTCTGGTTTCTCTCTTTATGGAAAACTGAAAAGTAAATGCCATCATTGTATGTTTTTACCTGGGCTGTGTTCTATCAGTTGACTTGAGTTTTAGAAGTTTTTACAAAACATGGTAGTTGGCTATGTCAAGTCAGTCTTTCCAGAGGGCTGTTTCTCTCATGGAGACTCCCTCCTGCCTTGTCTTAGACCTGCAGAGTTCTAGCCTGATTTCCCAATCTTTCGACTCTAGAGAGTGGACATTCTGCTGTAGCTGGGTCAGTCACCTCCCTGTTTCCTGACTACACTGGACACTCTCCCATTTGCCCCATTGCTGGAATCACCTCCTTCAGTCATTCTGTGTCTCTGTTAGGGAGTGCCTTCTTCTGTCACAGATTAGCTTTGGATCTACTTACTGCATGTCATATTCATTTGACACATGTCATGGCTCTTCATTCATTTGCCACTTTCTTTCTTCCTTTTTTTTTGTTTTGTTTTGTTTGTTTGTTTGTTTGTTTTTTTGAGACAGGGTTTCTCTGTGTAGCTTTGTGCCTTTCCTGGAAATCACTCTGTAGACCAGGCTGGCCTCAAACTCACAAAGATCTGCCTGGCTCTGCCTCCCAAGTGCTGGGATTAAAGGCGTGTGCCACCACCACCCAGCCCATTTGCCACTTTCTATGCTCACTTATACCTTCCTTCACTGACCAGTTGTATTATACATCCTTTAACAAATAAGATAGATGTTAAAAATTTCTTGAGCATTCTATCAGTCTATAATTGATTGACTTCTTTGTGGAAATGGGTGTTCAGTCCAGGGATTGTGATCTTGGCTCCACAGAAGAATCAAGTAGAAGGTTCTGGAAAGACTGGTTGCTGAGTTCTACCTGCACATATTCTAGTTCAGTTGGTCTCAATGGTTGTATAAAGTGGGCATCAGGATTTTCTAGGTTTCTCCACGATTAAAAATACAATTAAAGTTGGGGAAGGACATCTAGTACCAAATGATTTTCCCCCCAAACCAACAATAGGCACAAGTGTTTTGGGCTTATGCTTTTATACTGATAGCCATCCATCTTTCAGTGGAAGAAAGGTATGGCATGTTCAGATGCTAACTCTCTGTATGAGTAATGATGACGCAGGTAACGGATGGTGCCTGTAAAGCCGCGTGTTGCAGAGATACAGATTATCTTTAATGAAGTAGAACTGCCAATGCTAAATTGAAAAGCAGGGACACTAAGGACATACCACTTTACATTAATGAATAGAAAACAAATTAAAGAAAGAGAAACCTGAAATGAGGCCAAATGCTTTATGAGGTCATTTGCCGTTAGGCAAGAAAGACAGGGTGGCTGGTGATGAGTGTCAGTCCCAGTTTTCTGAGCTGTTTTCCTTGAATTGCTTCAGCAAAAAGCTTGAGTAGAAGTTTGGAGGTCCATGTAAGTATTATTGACCTTTAGTTTGGGGCTCCACACCTTTTGACACATGAAGGCACTTGCATTTCAGAGTTTAAAAGCAAAGGATTGGCTCTCTTCCTTCTTGGCTGTTCCTCAGTGTGTACAGCCCTGACCTTGATCCCTAATACTGCAAAGGAAAAAAAAGTTTACAAAGACAAATTGTAGTGATTTTACTCCTCCAATCTTCTATACTAACAGGTAAACAAGAAGGCAGTTTGTTTTGGTTACATTTTAAAAACAGATTTATTAATTTTAGTGCAGTCACTTCAGTGGTTTTGGTGGCATATTTATAAAATGTTTTCTTAATGTTTCAGGCAAAGTTTCACTGTTTCCCAGGCTTAATTCAAACTCTTGAGCCCAAGCCATCCTCCTGCCTCAGCCTACCCCAGTATCTGAGGCTATATGCATGCACCCCACACTGCTTATCTTACAGTGGCATAGAGTTTGTTTCCAAGAAGAGCTTTGTTAGAAAGCTCAGCCCTTGGAAGAAAGAGCATTAAAGTGTAGTGTGGGAACAAAAGCTGTCACTGTCATTGTTCTTGCTTATTTGAGCTCCGGCTGTAATTAGTAGAGAATATACTTACCCAGGCATGTAGTACTATTGTATTATTATTAGCTTCAGCATTTCATCTAAGTTGGGATTCATCTTTCATTCCTGGAGAAAGCTTAATAAGTACTTCACAAACACCTTCAGCACAGCACAGCAGCAGCAGCAGCAGCAGCAAAGCCCACCAGCCTCGTGATAGCCTCCTGTGATTTCTGTCACTTCCTCATTCTCTGTATTGTTTGGACAAATCCTAGGGATTTGTACCAGGGGGATAAACTACCTTTCTTCCAAAGAAGCCTGGAGGCTGTGCAAGTGGAACACCTTTCAAACACTTAAGCGCCTCCTGAGCACTCCACATACATTAACCGTGCCGATCCCCACACTGATCCCAACAAAATGCTTCTGAGTTCCTCACTCCTATCTTGGACTAATCAGAAGATGAACTGCTTGCTTTTCTGGTCATTGAAGCCAGATGAGCACCAATACCCCTCAAAGTTGTTCTGGCTGCTGTGTGTGGTTTGCTTTTATTTCTCTCTCTCTCTCTCTCTCTCTCTCTCTCTCTCTCTCTCTGTAGTTGTAAGTTTCTCCAGTTCCACCTGGCCCTATGTTCCTCCTGCAGTTGCTTATAAAATAGTCACTCAGAGGGCTTAATATCATTTATAAACTGTATGGCTTATGTCAGGCTTCTTGCTAGCTAGCTCTTTCATCTTAAATTAACCCATTTGAATTAATCTATTTGCCACGTGGTCATGGTGTTACTGGTCTGCTGGCATCTTGCTGCTTCCTCGGCGGCAGCTGGGGTCTCTCCCTCCTCTCTTTTCTTCTCTCCATATCTCTGCTTGGATTTCCTGCCTGCCTCTAAGCTGCCTTGCCATAGGCCAAAACAGCTTTATTTATTTATTAGCCAATGAGAGCAATACATATTCACAGCATATAGAAAGACATCCCACAGCGTGTGTTTGTGTGTGTGTGTGTGTGTGTGTTGTCTATTTCATTTTGCTTTTTAAAAATAATCTTGTTTGACAGATTCATACATGAGCCTTGTATCTACATCATTCCCGCCCCTTCCTCTCCCTCCAGTTCCTCTCATGTGCCCCCTCCCAAATTCATGTTTAGTTATTGTTATGTGTATATGCCTATCTGTGTGTATGTATGTGCATGTGAATGTTCAACCTACTGAGTCCATTTAGCATTACTCATATATACATGTGTTTAGAGCTGACCTCTTGAGATTGGATAACCTATGTGGGAGCTTGTTCCTGGAAGAGACTGATTCTCCATCTCTCAGCAGCTATTGGCCACCTGTAGCTCTTCATCTAGGGCCAAGGCCATGCGGAATTTCTC